CTGATAGCATGCAAAAGATAAAAAGAGAAAACTATAAAACACACAAGACTTAAGAATAAAAGTTGAACTAAAAGAATGAATCCATCGTTTAAATGTGTATTTGTTAAACATAAAAATGGGGAGATTATTTAAAAACAAAATCGTCTATATGAACAAACAATCTCATGTTTTGTATTTTAACCAAATAACATTAAAATGGAAATATCAGAAAGCAACCTAGGATAAAAACATATAGCCAAAACCCCAAACAAACAAAAACTAGAACTTGAATCTCAAACCTAGAAATCATAGAAAAACATTTAGGTCCTAGGAAATAGAAAAACACTTAAGCTAGAACAACCAAACGCATGACTAGACAATGTCTTGTCTAAAGATGTTTGAGAGAGAACTGAGTTAAACGTTCAATGCTTAAAATACCTAAAGTAGGTATTTGGCTTCTCTCGAAAACAAAAATAGGTCGAGAAAATTTCTTCAACTAAAACAATTAAAAGACATAATTGTTAAAACATATAAGAAAGTTTGAGTAAGCTAAATGTTTCAGTAGGGATGTGGAGGCCGAGATACAAACCTAATAAAACTGAATTGCTTCTTCTTATGTTGTCGTCACGATGCTTCCTTCCTCTCTTACGTTCTGTTCCTTGGAAAAGGTGGGCTGGGTACCTGCAAAGGCACTCGACGCTCAAGTCAGAAAAGGGGTCACCTGAATCTTTTGGTTCAAAGTGATCAAGCAGAAGAGTAATTTCCTCTCTTAATTTCTCTAAGGGGAAAAAACGTACCTTTTTTCTGGTGTGCTTTGTATATTAAAACCGGAAAATAAACCGTTTACCTGGAAATCCGGACAGTTTACCGAAGTGGACTACTTGAAAGTTGTAACTGCTAGGGTCTGTTTGATACTGAGTCAAATACTTGCGTGATTCGTGGCGTGATTCGTGGCGTGTGAGCTAATATTTGTAACTGCTTATTCTTAACTGCTGAACCGTTTACTATGATATCGTTCACTATATGTCGACCACTGTTTGTGTCGACATAAACATATGAAACGTCGTGAGAGAACGATAGTCGGGACATCGTTGCTGGCTGTCGACTACTAGTATGTCGACCTCAACAAAATGGGTGTCGACCTCAACAAACGAATTGACGTTAAGAAGTGTTCGCTACTCCTGCGATGTGACATTGCGATCGTAAGATGGGTCAACAATCTGTCGTCCGTGGTACCCGTCGACCGTTGGTGAATTTAGGTATCCTACGGCATGCCCCCCTCCTAGTAAACGATTACGGATTTTGGCGTGGAGTTTACTGAAGGACGTCGAGTGGTGGTGTACTGGGGAAATGATACGCACGTTCGGGATTGGAATTTTTAGGGTTTTCCCGCTTTATGAGGAAGCGAAGAGACGAGAAATTATAACCGCTGGATGGGACTGGATCTAACGGCGCTGGATGTATCTGTGGTTGGCTTCTTTAATACGAACGCAAGATGAAAAGACGCGCTGTGCTTTCCAGAACTTGAGAACGTTATCTGTCTGCCGGTGAGAGCTATCCCGCGTGCTGCGAAATCGTTCAACCTGCTGACTTCAGACGCAATAACTCCAGGTAAATATCCAACTTGTCTTCGTCCTCGTGTGGTTTGTTTACCGAAAATGGAAGGAAAAGGGCGGAGCACCGGTACAGAACTACCGGGCCCGTCGTCATCGTCTGAATGTCCCGATGTCACCACTTTACCTTTCGGTGAAAACGCATTTTTTTATGGAGATGTGGAGAGTGAATGGTCCAGAGGCGCGTGGGAACATCGCCGACCTCGTGACGGCGATTATGCTTGGGTGGCGCGTGATTGAATATAGTGAGTTATTTAGGAGTAGGGCGTGTTAGAAGATTGGTAGAAAATAGCTCTATTCTGAGAACTAGAGGTACAAATCGTGTGTGAATGGTGGTGGTCCTGTAGGGGGATGAAAGGGTGTTTCACGGGAGGGAGAATAGCTCCCATGAGTTTTTTTTACTGTTATGCGTTCCGCCGTTTTACGATTTGTATGTGAGAGTGCCCTTCACAACCTTCCAAATGGATGTGCTGAGGACCTTAAATGTCGCGCCTAGTCAATTGCATCCCAAGTAGTTGGGGATATCTGCAGGCATTTGCTATTTTGTGTCGAGCCTTGGCTTAGGCCGAGGCACAGTGGGCTTTGTTTTTACATTTCTTTAGGTGTCGACCTGCTGCCAAAAAGGGTGGGTGTCGTTAATTTCTGAGCCGGGAATGCTCTGTTGGAGCTGTTCCTGCAATCGTATAGGGGTTTTAAAAATAAATTCTTCAAAGTGTCGATCCTTGACACTGACGGAGGCACTTTTTGATGGTAGAGGGAACCCCAAGTTTCCATTGTACTGACGCAGGATCCGCTGAGTTTACCTCGTGGCCGAGGATGTAATGACGATCGAGGAATTAGAGGTGTTAACGTGTTGAGGGCCTTGCCACGCCCCTTTCTTCCCGTGGCTCATAAACTGCCTTGAACATGACAGATGCTGAGTCGAGGGTGGTTTGGTATGATCCTCTTCTTGTTTTGTATTTGTTGTGTTGTAGTTGTTGACTTTCTAGGTTGACTTTTGTTGTGCAGAGATAATGGCCGTAATTGGTTCCAGGCTATCGACAACGAGAAGACCGAAGGTGATCTTCCTGGGTCATCCTTAGACGTAGCAGGGGCTACAACGTAGTCAAGTGCACCACCGGGACCAGTGGTGGTGGGGCCTCGACTGACGAGATCACGACGCTGAAGAACAACCCTTGATACGAAAAAGAAAGGGGAAAGTGGTCGACGCTAATGTTGCCGCGTCAAAGAAGAGGAAGAGATTGTAGATGGACAGAAGTCCCCTCTCTCGGTGTATGTGGATCCTCCTTTACCATTGAGCCATAGGGTTGAACCCATTTTGGATAACTCGGAGAAGAAGTGGTCGAGGGCATGACTGAGCAGCAAATGGCCGATATTTGTTGGAAATGACGACTCGGTCACAGATGCTAGCGTGGCATCTTGCATATGCCTCGACAGAGGTGCGCTGCGGGGCGGTTGGATCAAGGCGCAGATTCAGCTGAAGGAGCTTATTGAGGCTCATGCTGGTGTGTTGCAAGGCAGAAAACGGCAGAGCAATGCTGAGTAGAGGCTCAAGTGTTTGAACGATGCCCGGGATGCTGGCTTGTCATTAAGGAAGGAGCGTGATGAACTGTTGATGAGCTAGAAAGAGCCAAGAAAATAGGGGTGGCGCGAGCAAGGAGCGGATGCGCTAAGGGCAGAAGGGAAAGAGGACGAGAGCTTATAGAAGAATAAAGGAGGCGGGTGATGATCGAACATACAGGGGTGTTCGAAGGTGTGAGACAAGTTGCCACTTGCTGAAGGTGTCCCGACTGATGGAGTGGAGTTGGATGTCCGGAAAGATGTGTATGAGGGGAACTGAAACCCCTTAATGAATTCCCGAAGATGCCTTTATGACGAAGAAAAGATGAAAGGGTTGTGACCGAGAACCCGTGGAAAGCAGTTGCTGTGATGAACCAGCTGCTGAGGCGGTTAAAGATGTTGCTGGCAACCCACCGACATTGTATAGATTAGGAGTTTATAAACTGTGAAATGCTAAACTTGGATTGTTAAATGGTATACTTGGACTTGTTGAAAATTTAATGACTGTGAATGTCGAACTGTATTGAGTTTTGAATGTTTGACGTGGACGTAGAACTAGTTGAACTTCTTTGTATGTAGGGCGTTTAACTTTGCCGATTTTGCAATTTGTTTGCTGTAACGACTGCTGAGTGTCATTGTCGAGTGTGTGGATGAGCGGTGTATGACCGTGAGAGTGAGGTTCGAGTAGGGTGTTCCAGGGAGAACATCTACAGGAGGGAGTGTCTCCCAGGCGGACTGGGTGTTCAAGGGTGAACATCTACCAGTGGGGTGTATCCCAAGCGAACTGGTGTTCAAGGGTGAACATCTACCAGTGGGAGGTATCCAATTCGTTTGTGTGCAAAAGTGCCCGAGATGGTGACCCTGGGACTCGACATTGGTAGAAAGTATAAATGACACAAGTATTAATCATATGAAACGTACTCTTTATTTGGAAACGGAATTAGGAATGTTGTAAAAATAACCCAACAAGAAAATGAATGCTAACGAAGTAGTATTTAAAGATGAGTGGCATTCCAGGTGTTGGGAACTGGTTTGGCCATCAAGGAGCTGGAGTCGATATGCCCGTTCGACATGTCCTCTACAACTCTAAAGGGTCCTTCCCATTAGCTGCAAGCTTGCCGTGGGCTCGATTCTTCCTAGCCTCTCCCGTCTTTCGCCACACCAGATTGCCGCTTCTGAAGGCTCTGGGCTTGACCTGGTGTTGTACCTCGAGATGCATTCGCTTCTGCGCCTCGTGCACGGATGGTGGCGATCTTCTCGACGTTCAGGAAGACGTCCGAGAATGTCCGCAATTGTTCTTCATTAAGCGGCATATTCAGTGAGATGACGCCTCAATGAGGGTCGCCCACCTCGATGGGAGCATGGCATCAGTGCCGTAGGTTAAGTTGAATGGCGTGTCCCCTGTAGATCCATGGGGGTGCATCTGTATGCCCACAGAACCTCTGGTAGCTCTTCCCCCATAAACCTTTGGCTTCACCAAGTCCTTCTTCAACTCTGTCAGAATGGCTTTGTTTGCGGCCTCGGCTTGGCCGTTTGTTTGAGGGTTGCTCGACTGACGAGTGAACATGCTTGATGCCCAAATGCTAAGGAAATCTTCTAACTTGCGTTCGATGAATGGCGACATTGTCGGTGATGATCTTCTGGGGAGACCGAACTGACAGATGAGGTGCCAAATAAATTTCTGCACTCGTTGGGCACTGATAATGGACAACGGCTCGACCTCTATCCATTTTGTGAAGTAGTCGACCGCACGAGTAGGAACTTGTTTTTGCGGCCTTGGCGATCGGCAGTGGTCCAACTATGTCAAGACCCCACTGAGAACGGCCAAGGAGAGACAATTTGTGCAAATCTTCGGGAGGTGCATGGATGTCGTGACCATGGGCCTGACCGGAGATACACTTCTTGACAAATGTTTCACAATCGTGTCTAGTGTAGGCCAGTAAACCTTGCGCGAGAACACCGTGCTCTCGCAGGTCCGCTTGCCAGAGTGAAAGCCGCATATCCCGGTGTGTAGCTCGCGCAGTACATAGTCTGCCTCTTCCTCTGATATGCATTTCAACAGAGGAATGTTATGGCCGCGACGGTATAGGTCGTCACCTATACACAAAAACGTGCAATGCGTTTGGAATCAGCCATAGTAATGCTATCGCCTTTATCCTCTTCTCCATGAGATCTTGACCTTCTGCCGCCAGTCTGTTTACGGGTGCGACACATTGGTGACAAAACTTCCACCAAGGACGGTCGAGCGTCATCCTAATGATGAGGATAATTGTGCTCGCTCCTTAGAATGAGTTAACTTAGACAATAGATATGCTCTTGCTTTTGCTCCCATGGTACATGGATGACACTAAACTCGACGAAATGTTGGAGTAAGGTCTGAACCTTGTGGAAAATAGCGCAATAGTTGATGTATCCTTGACTTGATAGGTTCCGTTCAGTGGCTGACTACCAATTTTGAGTCCATCCGACACTCTAACATCACCGAGAACTCTCTGCAGGATAGGCCAGCAATCAAGGCTTCTACTCGGCCTAGTTGTTGTAGCTGAAATTTGAATATGATGGCTTGCTCATACTAAACCGTCCGATCCTTCTAGGACGACACCGGCTCCTCCCCCCTTTTGTCGGAGGAACCATCTACACTGAGTACACCACTTTGTAGTTGAGTCTCTGGTGCAGGTTTTAACTCAGCTGCAAGTTTGCCAAATGTTGACCCTTGATGGACCGCGTGGCTCGTAAACGGCTCTAGTGGGAAACCTATCCTTGATGTAGTTCTGAAGGTAACCCGTCACGGATAAGTCGCTCATTGTCTTTTACCATGTTGCATTCCTCGTGTCGTGCCTGTTCATATGGAAGCGGCATGTTTTGCTGTTGTCTGCGTTTTTTGGGGGTGGCCTTTCGCCCAACTGTCAGAGTTCGGCGTGCAATGCCTCTTCAAGCCCCTCGCCCTGGGTGCGTTGAGGGTGGCGTAACGATCGTACTTAGGTCCACCCTGACTCTTTTTGGGGCGGTCGATCTGATTTATATCGTTGGTCGATCGCTTTGCGGTTTTCTTGAACTCGTGATTAGAGGTATCTTGTTGCTGCTTCTTCCGACATTTGGATATCCTCGCATGCGGATGAAAATTTTGCAATTGTGGATTGCAATTCTTCCATAGTGCTGGAGGTCAGCATATAGTTTGTTCTGCAAATATCCTGGCCTTAAGCATGAAGGTAGATTGCTGATAATGAAGGTGTGATTGATACTTCACACGTCGGGCCGTCTCGTTGTATCGTTGCATAACGCTTTCAGTGTTTCATCCTTTTCCTGCTTGGTATTTACCAACTCAGCGGCCGTCTCTCCGGTTTTTCTGTTGGTTGCGTACTGTTTTTCTGAATAGAGTTTCAATTGTCGCAAACATTTACAGAATTCCGTGGAAGAGTGTGGAACCACTCCAAGGCCTCATCCTTGAGGGATAGGAGAAGCTTGCAGATGACAGGTCGTTATCTGTGTAGAATGCCATGGCGTCTACAAAGTTGCGCAGGTGATTGTCGGATCGGCGAAGCCATCAAACGTTCCACGTTTGGGGGAGTGTTTTGTCCGGCATGTGCGCTGCATTGATAATGGCCTCTGTGAACGGAAGCAGATTGGTGAGGGCATGGAAGTAGGCCCTTTCCCTCCCCCCACCTGAAGGCAGTCGAAAGAATATTGCATAAATGCAGATAAATACGAATAAAAACAAATAAAATTTTAAATAAGCAATGAATAAATAAACACTAAAAATAAACAACACTCAACCATTTTTATTAAAACAAACAGATTACAAGAATGTAAACATAAACTCCTAAGATGAACCCTAAGAATCCAGAGAAACTCCCTATAATTCTATATTATCTTGTGTACTCCCCTGAATACATACTCTTAGATACTGACGCTTCTACTCTTTTTTATTCTCTCCTTATTTGATAAATATAAAAGGAAATCGGAATAGATAAATTCATAGAATACACATATAACATATAATTGATTTTTATGTTAAATTAAGTGTGTTTATATTTAAAGACGGAAACTATAATAGTAATAAGTAATTTTGGTTAGGAATATATTTCTTTAATATTGTTAATTTTTTTACATCCGCTTATGTGGTAGTTTGTGATTAGTCTGTTTTAAATATACAAACTAATAAAATAGTGACACATAGTTTATTGTTAAAAAGTTGTTAAAAAAATTGTGGATTTTAACTTTTATTTACATCACGTGTTGGAGGAATTTGGTGACACATTTTCCAAACTCAAAATTTGTTCAAATTACAAGTATCATTGAGTTCAAAAGAGGAGGCCAGTTCAATTCTATTAACATCATAAATATTATTTTGAAATTTTCTCACATCCAAGGCTGTAATGTACACGTGTAAAGTAGGTTGGTTTATCGTTTACGCATCGCATTCAAATTGGTTGTGATAATGTTTGTTAAACGACAAAACTAAATTTGTTTAACTTTTATGTTTAATACCATTTATATTCATTTAAAACTAGTTTTTAATTTATTTGGATAAATTTATATTGGATGGTTTTTCTATTTTACTGTTTACTTTTTATTCATTTACTGTTAATAATTTATTTGACATGTGTCCCCAACTCCACAAAACTAAACTAATAGTCTAAAAATAAATAAAGAATACATAGTTGAACGAGATCAAGTTTGATTGTGAACTTATAGACGACAAAGATTTTATCGAAATAAATAAATTTCACTTTAATAATCAATAGAAAGATTTGTTTTTCTTGTGAAAATAAATGTTTTATTAACTAATTAGAAATACCATAAGTAAGAAAACACCTTTCTGAAAAACTATAAAAGTATCATTCTTAAAAATATTTTTTTTTTCTTTATACATATATTTTCTTTCTTCCATTTTTATTTTCAATCATATTCTTATCTTTATATTCTTACATGCCATTTTTGTTAAAAATTGTGGCTAACAAAAGTTCCATATACATACATTGGATTTGAGAAAATTTATGTAACCAAGCGGTTGAATGAAAGCTGTAGCTAAGACTTTGGTCCAAAGGAAGGAGTAGTAGGTGGGTAACCCTTCATGTGTGTGCCTTGCTCTTGCCTAATTCATCTTCATTCTCACACTTCACCAACCCAACCACCCTATCATTCTCTTTTCACCCTTTTCTTCTTATTAGATTAATCAAATCTTGCACTATATATATATATATATATATACACACACCCATCAGAAGCTCTCTTCATTCGTTCACTCCTTTGTTAGATCTAACCAACCATCACACCCTTTTCCTCATCTAACGGTAATTCCCACCATTTCTTCTCCCTCATCACTTCTTTCATGTTTCTGCATGTTCATGTTCCCGTACAATGTTCCGAGCCTTCAAGCTTCGATTTTGATATGAATTTTGTGCCCCCTGAAGCGAATTTGAGATGGGTTCTTTCTTATTTTTTTCTGATGGGATTTGGTGTTTGAATTTGTGGTTGTGGTTCTTCAGATCTGTTTTCACTTATGATCAATCATTGACGATTGGGTTGTTTTGTTGATGAAATAGAGTAAGAAAGATGGCGCGCAAGAAGATCAGAGAGTACGACTCCAAGAGGTTGTTGAAGGAGCACTTTAAGAGACTCTCTGGCAAGGAGTTGCCAATCAAGTCTGCACAAGTGAGTAATCTTATCATGAGTAAATTACAATGAATTATAAACATTCATCTATGATCTATCAACTATAATAAATTCAATTCTAATTGAATAATATCATTTAAGTTATGTTGCTCTAGTTTATTCAAACAATCAACATGCAAAAAACCTTCACTGTATTAGTGATTATTAAGCGCTTATGTAGATGCATATGAAAAAAATTTCCAGTTTTTATAAATCAATAATTCCTGACTTTAATTTCCATGTACTGTCCATGTAAAATAACTTCATTTATATTGTCAAACAATTAAAATCATCTCAAGTGTGACTTTAGTAGTTATTATAAATGTCAATAGATTTGTCACTTGGAGAACAGGGAAAAAATCATTTTAATGTTGGTACATTCGGGTTAAATTCATAATCTTTTACCATTGTGCATGTGGCTCATGTAGATGGTGCATATCAAACTTGAGTAATGATTGATGAATTGGTTTCTTTTTGTCTCAAGATAAATGCATCAACTGATTTCACTGAGTTACAAGAGAAGGAACCTTGGCTTTCATCTTCTAAATTGGTTGTGAAACCTGACATGTTATTTGGAAAGCGTGGCAAAAGCGGTTTGGTTGCTTTGAATTTGGATTTTGCACAAGTCGTCTCATTTGTGAAAGAGCGTCTTGGAAAGGAGGTGCTTTACTACTCTTGGGATTTTCCCACTTTATTTTTCCATTGTTCTGAGAGTTTCCCTTTCAACCCTTGATTTATTTATTCATGTTTTCTCTATATATAGGTTGAGATGGGTGGATGCATAGGACCCATAACAACTTTCATTGTTGAACCTTTTGTCCCACATGACGAAGAGTTTTACCTTAACATAGTCTCTGAGAGACTCGGCAACAGCATAAGCTTTTCTGAATGTGGAGGAATTGAAATTGAAGATAACTGGGATAAGGTACTGCAATGCTACCATGCATATTTTTCATATTTCATGTTAAATATTCTATATTTTGTGCTGTAAATTTTTCCCTTAATTAAGTTACTGAGTGGCTTATTCATATTTCAGGTTAAGACTGTATTCATTCCAACTGGAGTGTCTATTACATCTGAAATTGTTGCCCCACTTGTTGCAACCCTTCCCTTGGAGGTAAATTCAATTAAATTGCTAATTTGTTTTATGAACGGATTAACTTTGGAGTCTTTAACATGCTTGTTTTATGCATCTTAGTTTGATTTTTGATGTAAACCAATCTGACGGTGTAATTAAATCCTGTACTTTTTGTACAGATCAAGGGAGAAATTGAGGAATTTCTTAGAGTGGTTTTCATTCTGTTTCAAGGTATACAAAAATATATCTACCAAGTTATCAAAACAC